CCAAATATGGACTGCTTTGCCAGATACAGAGTCGCCACCTAAATATTTTATTTTGAGAAAATTTAGGAAACCCTGACTCGTGCCTAAGGCCATGTGTCCGTCATCACCAAAGTTGCCTCAGCTCGGGAACTTGGGTACGATTGGGGAAGGTCATATAATGAGCACCCCCGCTGGCCCGATCAAAGATCGGCCTGTACTAAACATGATATTTTGTTTTTGAAAACATATGCATTCTTATTCAGGTTAATTAGCTAGAATTACTATGTGATGCGCACAGTATACAAGTATAGACTAGATCCCCTAATTTGGAACAAAACATTGCATATCCATTTGTTTGGAAATAGTTTGAAGTTTACTACTCGCAAGTAGGCTAAATCGAAGATTTCAATGAATTATTTCAATTTAAGCAATCCAACCTTCACCTACAGGCATTCAGGCAGTTATAGCAAATAAGCAATTAGACTGCTGGCAAGCATGCTTTCATGGTAATCGATAACACACATGCAGTATGCTAAAGCGTAAACACTCATAGTGTACTCCGAGCCAAAACAAGGAACTAGTTAGAAATCATGCATGATCCTAGTTCATGTTAAGATGGCTAATGCGACACATGCGAAAATGCAACTAAGATAGGCTCGGCTATCCTAAGAGTGCCATGTGAAATGCAACTTGGTGCATGTATTCAAATAGGTATTGAAAATACAATGCTAGTTTGCATGATGCGCCGAGCCTGGTGCATACAATACAGATGAATGGATGCACGCATGCAAGCATAAGGTATGCTAATTGAAACATGCCCTAAAACTAACCATCGTAAGCGATTAAGTTAAAGGGAGAAAGAAATGGAGGTTGGAAGACATGCATCACACACACGCACGCTTACTACAACATTACGCCCTCTCGACGGAGAGACCAAATAAGAAGCTAACTAGCTAGCCTAAGCTAATTAAACTAATTATTACAAAAAAATTGAAATAGCTAACGCATTAACTATTAAAGGTACAAACCAAAGCGAAAGCTAGCTATCTAAGCATGGCAGCTAAGGAAAGCAGTAAATCAGGAGCTCCAAATGGAGAGGAATGCATGCAAGCCCGGTCGCCTCGTTTGGAAATCCAATACGATGCCCCGATTTGCCTCTGTTTTCAATTGTCCTCAGAACATTGCACAAAGCTCCAGAAAGCTGAAACTCTACCTTGAGAACCAGTGGGAGGGTGGCCGACCAGTTGTTGGTGTCTGCAGCCATGGCCGACCACCTATCTTTGTTGAAAGCTAGAAAAAGTGGTCGGCCAGCTAGTTTTTCTGGCTGGCCGACCAGTTGTTGCTGCTGGATTCCAGTTTGCTGCAACAGAGAGCAAGAAAGGGCATAGCAATATATTTGCAAGATATGTGTGCACAACCACCCTCCCTATCATGTCATAAACTCAAGGGAGTGTAGTTCTCGACCCTCGAGCCACCAATCGCACATTTCAATGCATGATGGTCGAGAGGCGAAGTTGCACAATTCAATATGAAAATGAATGCACAAGTAAACACATAAGGCCTAAAACCCTATCATGTGTGATCAAGAGCGTCGGCGACCGAGAATTGAGGCACGTTTCATCACTTTAAGTATGAAACGTCCCTCTTTTCTCGTATTTAGACTAACACCTATTCCAAACAATAATGCAACACATAACATGGCATACACAATGCGACTCGAGCATGCAAACATGCAATGCAACTAGAGCATGTAAACATGCAATGCAATGAAACAAGCATATAAACAACATGCGAGGGACAAGCATGCAAACATGCAAGGCAACATGAACAACCTAACAAGGCTAATGGCATGCACAATGCAAAGCAACTTTAGATTCTAAACACAATGTAATGCATGCATGCATGCACAATGCAATGTAAGATGGCAACTTATCAATGCTAAGGACTACTTGGCATACACAATGCAAAGAACTACATAGCATACACAATGCAATGGGGTAACATGGCAAACACAATACTCAATGGACTTAAACCAAAATGGATAGACTTTAGCTATGCCCAAATTAGTAGCCATTGGTGATGAATTTAAGGCACAAAAGGCAAGGTATGCATGCACAATGCATTGGCCAACCAAACTAGGCCTAAGAGCACAACCCTCAAGAAGGCTCAAAGAGTGACAAATGTGCAAGTGTGACAACACTAAGTGCACTGAAATTAGACAAGAAATGATGCCAAATCACTTAAACGATGCAAGTAAAGCATGCTAGGGTCCTAAAGCATGAAAGCTAATAAAGAGGACTACAAAGAAGGCATGCAATACATGGAAAATAAGCATGAACTAAGCATGGACAAAGCTCAAGTAGGTCAAAACAATGACCAAAACATGCTGAGATGAGGACTCAAAGACCTAGGCATGCAAGCATATAAGCTAAGCCATAAACTAGGCAACAATGCACAACACTCAAAGACACTTAAAGAGTGAATGAAGTGGGAACATGGCAATGCTAAAAGCTCTGAAATGTCATGCTAGATGATGCCAAATCATGTACACAACACAAATAAAGCATGCAATGGTGCTCAAAGCTTGAAGCAAGTAAGAGCACTTGTACTACAAGTATGCAAAACATGAAGCATGTGATCAAGGCAACCCAAAACAGTCCTAGAACATGTTAAAATAAGTCTAAAACATGCATGGAAGGAAGCCAAAATAAACTAGCATGAAGGGCATAAGTCATGATGCATACAAGGCAAATAAGGTGGATTACACTACACCTATTAAGACCAAGCATGGGATGACTTAACCAACAAAATTTAGAGTTATATCATGGCACAATGGCTCATGTTAAGGCATAAAGAGGGCAAACCCTCCAACGCATTGAATGAGTGATAAATGCAAGTGCATGAGCATGAAATATGGACTGAAATCACATAATAAATTATTCCAAATCATTCAAATAGTCCAAGTAAAGCATGCTAGTGGGCTTGACACACAAAGCTAACAAGCTAGATTGAACCATAGCTATGCAAAGCAAGTCATACATGGCCAAAACAACCAAAATCAGAGCTAAAGCATGTTAAAACATGGACAAAAGCTTCTTAGAGTTAAGCCAAAAGCATGCTAGAATGACATGTTAAAGCATGGCACATTTTAGGCTAAATCAAGGAATTGCACTACAAGTGCATGGAGCATGCAAAGGCCAACCAAACCAAACCAAACCAAAACAGAGTCATGACATGGCAAAACATCACCAAAAATATGCTGAAATGAAAACAAAACAACCTAGAATGACAAGCTACTTCATGAAGCATACAAAGCTAGTGTGTGTGATTCACACTACAAGTGTATTATGCATGCATGGAGTGACAAAACCAAACAAAAACAGTGGCATGCCACAGCAAAATAACCACAAATACAAGCTAAGATATGGCCAACATAAGCTTAACAAACATGCTTACACATAAGGCTAATGAAGACAAGTATTGAAGACACAAGGAGAGGGGACCCTCTCCTTTTTAAGACCTCAAAACACCTTTCCCACAACTAAAATTCCTCTGAGTTTCAGTGGTGAGAAGGCCAAAACAAGGTGGTCCCAAAAGCTCACAAAGAAGGCACAAAAGCAAGGCCAAACAAGGCCTAAGAAGGGGTAAACAACCCCAAACACAAAAGTGACCTTAAACAAACTTTTAAAGCACACAAAAATAGAACTTTTTGCAGTAGGAAGCTAAGCTCAAAACAGCATGCAAAAGGGCTCAAAAGCTTAAGCAAAAATAGGGGTTTTAAGGGTTAAAGACTCACCCTTAATGAACTTCTTCAAGGCTGCAACTCCAGCAGGTTTTTCAAGCTCAAACCAACCTAAGAACACCAAAACCAGCTCCTAAGCACCTCAGTAGCAAAAGGATGGTGTTTGAGTGTGTGTTTGTGTGTTAAAGTAAGACAAAATGACACTTTTGAACACAAAACAAGAGCAAAATGAAGAAGTACAGATACAAAACTATATGTATCACTCCAACCCTTTTTTTCTGAACCTAGAGGAGGGAGGAGATGGTTCTCTCTTATAGAGAACCAAAATCAAAGCTTCTTGGAGAAGCTAAGGTTCAAGGCAATCCCTTCATACACATGTATGGAGGATAGTTTCAGTGCCCTCCAACTCTACCAACTGGAGGAAAATATCTCCAAAAAGGTGGCAAAAAGCAACCAACCACTTCAAGTGGTCGGCCAGCTACTTCAAGTGGTCGGCCGACCACCACAAGTGGTCTCCCAAGACAAGAAGTGGTCGGCCATGGTGGGAGATGATCAACACACTGAAAACAAGCCAGGGGTGGGGTGGTCGACCAGAAAGATGGCTCAAAGACCTAGGAGACCAGTTGTCAGATCAGAAAACTGGCTGGCGGGAAGAAAAGTGGTCTCCAAGGAAAAAAACTAGTCTCCCACCCTTGTACCACCTTCCAAACAAGGAAAACAAGGTTCATACCAAAAACAAACCAAAACGGATGCAAGACGAAAGTTCGGAAGGCAAAGCACGCAGCCGGGAGCCTCGAAAACTAGCTGACAAGCACCAAAAGTGGTTTGCGACCACAAAAGTGGTCTTCCAAACCACAGTGGCCCTCGAGGCCAAGGAAACAAGGTGTCGTTCAAAAATCACGCCAAATGGAGAATGTTAAGCGATCCCGAGACAAGGCAAGCGGCCGAAGGCTCCGAAAACCGGAAACTAGTCTCCAAACGGAAAAAATAGTCTACGACCATGAAAAGTGGTCTACGACCACAAAGAGATGGTGTACAAGACCTCTCCCTCCCTCAAGCAAGGAAAACAAGGCTTGGTCCGCAAACCGAGCTGAAACACAAAGAGTTCAGAGGCCCGAAGGCAAGGCTCTCAGCCAAAACTCCGAAACCTCGAAACGAGCACAACACGCACTATCACCAAGCGCTCAATCGATGACGTGTTAGTCTTAAGGTCGGTCAAAAATAAGGTGTCTACAAAATGCAATGTAAATAGTAATACACTTGTGCAAGACATTCCTAATAATTCAAAATTAATAGCTATTAAACATCCCAATAAGCATAATTACAATTCTCTATCAATCTGAAACATTCATACCAAAGTACTTACAAACTATTAACATCAAACCCACAAATTCATTACCAAATCCTATGTCAAAATATTTTCAAAAACACAAAACCAAATATTTTGATGCTAAACATCTAACCCACAAGTCATTTACCAAAATCTCATGTCAAAATATTTGCAAAAACACAAAACCAAATAGTTTGATGTTAAACATCTAACCTAAAGTCATTTACCAAAATCTTATATCAAAATATTTCCAAAAAAACAAAATCAAATCTTCTGATGCAACCCGAACTATTTTCCACCATTCCCAATCTGTTACCTGAAAAAGAAAAAACAATATTAGATTGACAAGAAAAAAAAATGAAATAAAATAACTCGGTATGAATTTCACAATTTTGATTTTAATTTTGGAACAGGAAGTTCAATCGGGGCGCCGTTTGCTCATACAAGTTTATTTAGTCTTGTGCAAGCTACCCGTGCTAAGTTTCGGCGGTTTTGGTGGTCATTTCACAATTTTGCCCCCCCAAACGGGCCTTTTAAGTCTTGTGTTTTATAATTTTCCTTCTAATTTTCTAACCGGAAATCCAATCGAGGTCCCATTTGTTCCTACAAGTTTATTTAAGCTTGAGCAAGCTACCCGTGCTAAGTTTCGATGGTTCTGGTCGTCATTTCGCAATTTTAGCCCCCGAATGGGCCTTTTAAGTCTTGTGTTTTACAATTTTCTTTCTAATTTTCTAACCAGAAATCCAATCGAGGTCCTGTTTGTTCCTACAAGTCTATTTAGGCTTGAGTAAGCTGCCCGTGCCATGTTTCGACAGTTTGATGCTCATTTTTCAATTTCGCCCCCCCGAACAGGCCTTTAAAGTCTTGTATTTTACAATTTTCCTTCTAATTTTCTAACCGGAAATCCAATCGAGGTCCCGTTTGTTCCTACAAGTCTATTTAGGATTGAGTGTTGAACTGAGGCCGGCTCTATGAGAATGAAGAGGCTAATTTCTCTAGAAGCACTCATGAACAACCTGGAGCTTTCAAGGCCAAAATGAACACAACCGTGAGAACCACGATGTGTCAGAAAATATTTTGTGTGAAATCAACTGTCTTGGCTTACACAAACTACTAACAATTCAAGACATCGCGTCTATTGGTTAGCTAGTAAGCCCGATAGGTTATCACTAGACAAGTCCCTCATTTGGATTTTCACTCATTTTTTGTCCTCAATTCTGCTATTGCTCTCTGCATCTTACTACATTATTTCTGTAAGAAAGAATGTAAACATAGAGTGCGTTCGTTGTGCGAATAGTTTGTAGTGCTGCTACTATTTGTTGTTGATAATTTTATCCTGAGAGATAGACGTTCATAATCTGAAAGTACCGAGGAGAGGACAAATATGTCTTGAGGACACAGTGTTAACCATTGGACTTGATCAAAATTTTGTTCAAGAAATTAATATGGTAAGTAATTAATTTACTTTTCTGTTTTATTAATCTTTTCTTTTTCAGATTCTGATTTTGTTTTTGTAACAAAATAAGAATCTATTGCTTTATTTTATTTTATATAATTTTTTGATTTTTTGTAATCGAACAATCTCTCTCTTTTCTTTAATTCTTTCTTTGAATACTTTGAAGATTTTCCAACACTTTCAACAATCATTGTGAAGCAAGGCAGCAAGCTGCAAGGTCAAATCCATGGAGAAGACTCAACACAAGCAACAGCAGCAACACCTGCAACTATCATCAGATTTTAATCTTGTATATATAATATTAATCATTTCTGGTTGTGTTTTTTGTCCTAGATTCTATTTCTTAGGTACAAAACAAAGCAGGTTAAATTGGCTGGATGCACTATTTAGACTACTGGGAACTTTTAGCTTATAGTATTGCACACAGCATGCTACATTTTTTATTTTATGTCATATTACAACTTTGATTTTACTTTATACTATAGTTTAGGATGGTATAAGCTTTTTACATACGGGTCGGAACATATTTATGTGTAAAGAATTTTGTTAAGTTGCTTCTAATTGAAAAGCTAACTCAGCCAACTCAGGAGCAACACAGAGCAAGCTGTAGTGATTATCTATTTTATATCTCAACAATGCTCTTTACCTAGTTTTCACCCATCAGACATTTAGATATTTTTAATACAAGAAATCACAATGAGGGTGCACATCAAGATTAGCAAAGCTAGGTAGAATTACATACTTTACATTCAATTCATTGAAAACAAAAGAATTAAAAGAATAGTAAAGCTCCTGCAACTGGAGGCCCTTAAAGCACACAAAGAAAATATATATATATATATGCATATATATTTTACATTTAGAACACTGAAAAAGATGAAGATACTAAAAAATTATACTCACCCCTCAATGTAATCCGACTGGAGAAGATCAAGATATGTATCCCATTTGTTTCCAATGGCCTTTAAAAAAAAAAAACCAAGTTTAAAAAAAAATTAGTTCAGATCCACATACACAACATATTCGCCATATTTCAGATCTTCTACTCTGCCTTGCTTTAGGGCAGCCCATTTATTATTCTCCCTAAAACTTCTCTCTTTTCCTCCAAAAGCTGTAGTTCTATCTTTCCATCTTAATGCTTAGATGGAGTTCATTGTACTATTATGCCAAAATATAACTCAAGAGATACTTGTCTTGAAAAGAGAAATATTAAATCCACATAATTTTCAATCAGAAGTCATAAACACAGCATCATATTTTCTTGAGCCAAACCACCAATTCATTAAACCAATGAAAGAACCTGGAATTCATTAAAATCTAAACTCCATTACCTTTCTTTGCCATTATCATATTATGTGAACCTTCTTTGGAAACTGGGTCTCAAGGCTAGAGATATCTTACTTGTCAAATTTCTCTCGTTATTTTAATTGGTAATATTCCAAGAAACCAAAATAAGTTATCCTTCAATTAAGCAGTATATGTGAAATGAATTTTCAATCTAAATTGATATTCATATGTTCAAGATGCTGCTTTATTTGTTTCTGCTTTGGAGATTTCAATTTTCATACTTTCCTTTCCTAATTAGTCTCTCATTGCCAGTTATGTACAATTGATACTAATGTGGCCAGTTAACAAACATAATCACACCATAAATTTAGCTTCCACTAAATGAGTGCAAGATTTAGAAACTGTTCAAGTCCTGGCTTCATCCTTTATTTTCAAAGTAGTAAAAAAACAGTGTGCTCATAAAATTACTAGATCTGTCATCAAACCTATGTGCTTGACAAACCTTTTAGGAATATTGACAACATTGATTTGGAATAAACAAGGTATTATCACGATTATAAAAACTAATGTGTTTGGGAATCATTATAAAAAAAATCTAGAGAAAAAAGGGAAAAAGAAAGAAAAGAAAAAGGGGGCTTCTAAATCTGAAATGTATTGCTTCATAGCAACAGTGAATGTGAGTGTTTCAACTTTGTGCTGAAGCTCAACCTAGTGCATAGCTTCATAAGAAAACGCATTTTTCAGAAACTGGCAAAAAAAAAAAAAAAAAAAGAATAAGAAGAAGAAAGAAAGAAAAAAAGAGTGGGATGTCTCAGTAAATCAATCAAAAGGTTCAATAATGTACAATACAAAATGGAAAATTGTACTAGTAAAAAGAAAAAGAAAACAGAAACTAGTACAAAACCAAAATAAAGTGACATAATTCATAAAATTAAGACTAAAAGTTAAACAAAACCCACACCATTCCAGATAAAAAATACCAAATCATTTAAACCCAAATAAATAAATAAGTAATTAAAAGCAAGGGTTAATTTCCTTTTTTATGGCCTAAAATATTGTCAATTATTTATATTTCATCATTAAATTATCAATTTCATCTATTTAGTCCGTAGAGTTTCTGATTTCAGTTCATGATTCAAATGGAGACAACGCTTTCAACTCAGTAATGCTGAAAACCTAACCAAATCGGCAAAAAATGTATTACAATTTGAATGATCTGAATTATAAAACCAAACAACTATTTTCTTACTCAAACTATATTATTGGACAACTTATATCTTACAAGAGACACCCATGTTCTTTTCTATTCCTTATTTCAATTTAGTGAGTTTTAAGTTATTCAAATTTTGAAATGACCATTCTGCCCATCGTGTCAGGCCTTGACAATTTGACAGTTTCAATTGGACCGCATTAACAGAAATTAAAAACTTTTAGGGATTAAATAGATGAAGTTGAAAATTAATGACAATTGTTTAGGTAATAAAAGTGAAATTAAGAAAGGGAAAAAAAAATGGCATCATTAGTTGTACCAGAGAATATCATCAAAGATTATATACCTGTTTTGGTAGTAGCTTTGAGTGACCACAACCATCTCATCAGTATAGAGACAACATTTGAGAGAAACCCACTAACAACCTCTGCAATACAGATCATACATACACACAGCCATGAATTAGGAAGGAACACATTGAAGCTCAAAAATCAGAACAGATCAAATTACATATACATATGTGCGCGTGTGTGTGTGTGTGTGTACTCACTTGCAGGAGAGGTAGCTTGAGCTGATGAGAAACCACCAAACAAGACTACAAGGGTGAGGGCCAACACCAGCACATTCTTCCCCATCACAATCATTTTCTCGAGAAAAAGTCTTTGAGAAAACGTTGAGAATTGAATGTTCAAGCTCTCCACATTTCATCAAACCCTAAATTCATGGTGTTTGAGGTGAAAGAGGAGGCATTGAAGAGTGGTTTTTTTTTAATGGGTTTTTGGTTTTTCATCCAAAAAAACAAAAACTGTGGTATTTGAGAGAGGGGAGAGTGAAGGGGAGGACAAACGAAAAAGGAGAGAGAAAAAGCAAGAGGGGCCAATGGAAATAGTAGAGTGGAGAGAATCATATACTATGAATCTGTGATTACCCAGTGCCACCATTAATGCCCCAAGAATACTTAAAAAATTTACTCGAACACAAAAAATTTTCATGATATTTCTTTTATAATGCCTAGCATTATTGATAAATAACGACAGTTAAGTTTGATAGATGGAGAGTCGTTATGTATTTAAATGATGTGTTAATTTGGTCTTTGTAGTTTACACGATGTGTTAATTTAGTCTTATTATTTTAATTTTCTTAATTTTCACAAGGACTAAATCGACACATCGTGTAAACTAGGCCTTATTTGTCATAATCTAAAAAAGTTAAAAAATCACTATTCTATTTAAGTCATATCATCTTATTTAAGTCACATTTCTCTATCATATCACTTCAAACCCAACCCATATTTCATAAGAAGTCAAAAAGTGCACTTATTTAGTCATCCCAAACTAGGCCTAAGATTTAAGACACCTCATCACAGAAAAATTCTAATTCCTACAGATAAGAAAAATCACAAATCTATTTCTGCACAGGTTGAGGCTTAAGATCAAAGAAAGGAAGACAGAGGTATTAGATTCTTCAGCATATTCTAAAAGAATTAAACCACCCGTCCTATAATAAGTGATATCCATAACAATAATAGTACTAAGTGCATGTTATAATCAGTGACAACTTGTAATGGCTTCATATAAGAAACATAAATTAAATCCATCACCATGTGTCAGATATGCAAGTATATGTTGCACAGAATATTATAACTAAACCCAAAGCAACTAGATGCCATTTAAAATAAAATCAGCAACAACATGCAATGATGGAAAAGGAAGTGTTTATGCAGAATGTCAGCAAAGCCACTAAATAAAACAATGATTGCATTAATTATCTTTCTTCATGATTAAGGAACATGATTGTCACCAGCATACCTCAGCAGCTTCAACAAGCCGACCCTCATCTTTGTAAAGAATCCCACAATGAGTAAGTGCGCATGCATTTTGCGGGTCCAGTTTGATGGCTTCCGCAAAACTCTCAAAAGCAAGCCGTCCCATATTCTGCATCTGTTGGCAAATCGCTTTACCAATGTGAGCTTCAACATTGCCATTATCCTTATCTAGTATACTCTCATAAAGAGCAAGAGCATCGATGAATTTGTTCCTGGAGCGAAGAATGTTGGCATAAGTTAAAGCATCTTTCCCTTCAAATTTCTTCAGTCCAGGACTAATGCAGCCTAGAGAGCTAGTGGTACCAGAAGCAAGCTGCACTCCTTCCAAGAACCCATTGTCACCAACAGGGTCTTTCTGTTTCCCATTACTAGCATCCTTATCTGTCCATGCCATGGTGGTATGGTAAGCTACAAGCTCCCTTTCCTAGACCAAAATTATCAGAAGTAAGAAATTGCAAGTTTTGGTTCAAATCCCAAATCAAATCCAAATATGGATGTTTGTGTTTTACAAGAAATATAAATAAGCTTGTTATAAACCTCACGGAATCGCTATTTCTGCTATTGGTTTCAGTAGTAAACCTCATCTATTGATCAAAGACTTGGCAAAGCTTTATTTTGCACTCACAAATCAAGCCCAACTGAACCAATAGCATAATAACACCATAGCAACTACACCAATTGAAGACATATGGCTCCAATACAAATATTTTTATTTTTATTTTAAGTTTTCAAGTAACCAACTTGAACCCTAACTATTGTATGGTCAATCACTGTAATCAATACTCGGTACCCAATCACAGTTGATTATCAAAACCCTAATAATTGTCAAACGCTCTTAAATAATCATCAATACATATAAACCCAGCTCCATAGAAGAATTCAAAACACAAAATTAGGGTTCTTGAGAACAAAATGCAATTCAAAATAAGAACATTTAAAGAGATTAATAACAAAGCCCAGCTATTAGAGAAAGAAACGAAAAGAAGAGAGATTTGCGAAAACTCACTCAAAACAATTGCCAGGCATTCTGCTGCTGGTTTGTATGTTTTATGTCACTTTTCAATTAAGTGTGATTATATATACGCTACTACTTTTTAATCACACTTTTTAAATAAGTGTGATTATTTATATATTTTTTAATCACACCTTCTAATTAAAAGTGTGATTATATATACATTACTACTTTTTAATCACACTTTTTAAATAAGTGTGATTATATATATATTTTTTAATCACACATTCTAATTAAAGTGTGATTATTTATATATTTTTTAATCACATCTTTTTAATTAAAGTGTGATTTCATATACACTTCTACTTTTTAATCACACTTTTTAAGTAACACTACAAGAAAAGTGGGCTTATGAGACGGAACTTTTTGTGACGGCACATTTGTCGTCGCAAAAAGTCATTTTTTGTGACGGCACAACTTGCCGTCGCAAAAAATGTGACCTTTTGAGACGGCACAATTTGTCGTCGCAAAAAATGTGACCTTTTGAGACGGCACAACTTGCCGTCGCAAAAAATGTGACCTTTTAAGACGGCACAACTTGCCATCGCAAAAAATGTGCCTTTTTGAGATGGCACAGCTTGCCATCGCAAAAAAAAAAATGTGCCTTTTTGAGACAGTACAACTTGTCGTCGTGAAAAATGTGACTTTTTGAGAAGGCACAACTTGCCGTCGCAAAAAAATGTGACTTTTTGATAAAAATAATAATAATAATTTTTTTTTCATTAAAATAAAAATAAAACAAATAAATTTTAACAAAAAAATCATTTTTTAAAAAAAAAAATTCATTAACTACAAAAAAACAAAAATTATTTTAACAAAAAATAATTTTTTTTGGCGACGGCAACCCCCATCGCAAAAAAAAAGAAAAAAGAGATTAAACCACGTTTTTTTTGTTTAAATTTCATTTGTAACCAATTTTTTTTTTTCATTCCCGCTATGTTTCCCCCCTTTTTTTTTCCATTCCCGTTCTGTAACCCCCAAAACCCAAACAAAAAATCCCCAATCTCAAACCACCCCGCCCAAAACCAAAAATCCCTAATCTCTTCTTACCCCCCTCTCTGTCTCTTTTCACCCATTTTTCATTTTCCTCTCTCTCTTCCCTTTCTCTCTTTCACTCATCACTCTTCTCTGTCTGTCTGTCTGTCTGTCTGTCTGTCTGTCTGTCTGTCTGTCTGTCTGTCTGTCTGTCTGTCTGTCTGTCTGTCTGTCTGTCTGTCTGTCTGTCTGTCTGTCTGTCTGTCTGTCTGTCTGTCTGTCTGTCTGTCTGTCTGTCTGTCTGTCTGTCTGTCTGTCTGTCTGTCTGTCTGTCTGTCTGTCTGTCTGTCTGTGTATCTGTCTCTCTTTCTCTCTGTGTGTCTCTCATTCATCTATCTCTTCTCTCATCTCTTTTCCCTCTCTGTCTCTTTCGTTCATCTCTCTTCTCTCTCTGTCTCTTTTTCTGTCTCTCACTCTCTATCATTTTCTCTCTTTGTCTCTCTCTTTGTCTTCTCTTTCTCTCTCTAACTCATCACTCTTCTCTGTCTGTCTGTCTCTGTCTCTGTCTGTCTCCCTTTCTCTCTTTGTCTCTCGCTCATCTCTCTTCTCTCTATCTCACTCATCTCTCTTCTCTCTCTGCCTCTCCCGCTCATCTCTCTTCTCTTTATCTCTCTCACGATCATCTCTCTTCTCTCTATCTCTCTCATCTCTTTTCTCTCTATGTCTCTCTCGCTCATTTCTATATATCTCTCTCTCGCTCATTTTTCTTCTCTCTCTATGTCTTTCTCTCGTTCATCTCTTTTTGTCTTTCTCTCGCTCATCTCTTGTTTCTCTCTCTATTTCTGTCTCTCTCTCTTTCTCTCTCTGTCTCTCTGTCTCTCACTCTCTTTCACTCATCACTCTTCTCTCTCTCTTTTTATCTCTATCTGCCTGTCTATTTGTCTCCCCCTCATTGTGTTCGCCTTGCTTACTCCCCTCTCCCTTCTTCTCTATTTACCAAGCTATCTTTCGATTTATCGAGATACTACAAGAAAATGCACTTTTGGTGAGCACTTTGTCTTTCTATCGCTCATCACTCTGTCTCTATCTCTGTCTCTGTCTCTATCTCTCTTCTTTATCTGTCTCTCACTCATTTCTCTCTCACCACTCATCTCTTCTACCACCTTTACCACTACTGCAAATGACATTCCACTACCACAACTACTACCACTGTTGCCACTCCGCCTTTACGACTATCATTACTACCACTATCACCACCACTCCACTACCACAATTACTACTACCATTACCTCTTATCCACCACCGCTACTCTATCTCCTCTACCACTACCACAACTTTACCATCAATCTCATTCGCTATCACCACCACCACCACTATCACCTCTTATCCACCACCTTCATCACTACTGTCGCTCCCTATCCTCTACCACAAAAAATTAGTTCCTGATTTTTAGTAACAAAAAAAAAAGGGTCGCAGAAAAATATTTTTCATTGATGACAAAAAATTAACTTTATTTTAATGGAAAATATTTTTTATTCAAAATGAAAAAAAAAATAATAATAATTTTTTATTCATTAAAATAAAAATGAAATAAATAAATTTTTAACCTTAATAACTAAAAGAAAACAAAAAATAAAAAAAATTATTTTAACAAAAAAAAAAAATTTAAATATTCATTTGTGATGGAAATCAAAAATAAAAAAAAAATTCCATATTTCCATTCCATTCACAACCCCCCTCGGCCCGCCCTTTTTTTTTCCATTCCCGCTCGGGTTACCAAATACCCCCAATCTCTTGAACCAAAAATCTCCTTCAACCAAAAATCCCTAATCTCTTCTTACGGCTCTCTCTCTCCGGCGAGCGGCGGCAAACGACGGCATCGAGCAGCGTGTGACAAATACGAAGTTCCTCATTTCTTCTCTCTCTTCTAGACCCTTCGAAGCCTCCTCGCCTTCCAAGTTTGTACAAAACACCGCGGTTTCATCTAAGTACGAGCAAGAACAGGACCTATTGAGCGATGCAGAGGAACCCAGTTATGTTTGATAATGTTTAGCTCATTGTTTTTTTGTAAATTTATATTTAAAATTTCAAACTATTATGTATTATAATTTTAAAATTTTGATATTGATATTCATTTGTAAATGACAGGTGTTTGGAGTAAGGGGCAGAGGATTTTATAGTGAAACCTGTTAAATGATCAGACATGAAACGTTTGAAAGATAAGTCTTCGATGATGATGATGTTCATGTTCTTGTGAAGGTATTAAGCAAATTCATATTTTTTTGGCATCCATTTTCATGCACATCAAGTGTTTGATTAAATGTGTCAATTGGTTTGTTTTGTCTGTGTTGATAGTCACTGCAGTGGATGGTGGAAGGAGAGCTCTGCAATATCTAGGATTGGATGATGAGGAAAAGAGCTATGTTTGGTATGATGATGATGTTCATGTTTTTTTTTTTTTGTGTAGAAAAAAATGCTTTGCTTATTTTTCCTCTCTGTTTTGTGTGTTGATCAAATGATTCATAATAATTCTAGAACATCAGGTGAAGATGATTTCACTTTGGGGACCTAACTGTGGCACCCACTAAAACACCAAACAAATTTAGTTTTCTTTTTCCACTTTTCTTATTCTATTTCACTTTGTCACAATTAGATATTTCATGAAGAATTTTTTTTGCTCGGTTTTGATTAGAGCAGAAGGTTTATTGGCTATGGTATGTACCAAGAAATGTGTTGTTTTACCATTATATCCCTTGAGTGCCCTTGTTGATTTGATAGTCACGCAGTCATTTTCTATCTAAATTTTTTACTATTGGTTTCATTTTTATTTTAAGAGATAAAATGATGTGAAAAGGGAGGGAATGAGACTTGAAACCCGTATATGGTACATCAAATTATTGATTTACCCCTTTTTTCTCGTGAATATCATTATTAGTTGGATTAATTTGATAGAGACAAATTAATAGGTAAATTTGTTGCATTTGAAACTATAGTAATCAAATTAATTGACAGGTATAAATATTGTTGTAATTAGCAAATAAAATAGAAATTATTTTTGTGCTCACCCCACACATCCTGAGTTGTTTTTTTTTTTTTTTTTTTTTTTTTTTTTTCTCTCTTTTATTGTAAGCCTGAGGACATTTCTTTTATTTGGGGTTTTTGTTTTTTTTTTTTTTTTTTTTTTTTTTTTTTTTTTTTTTTTTTTTTTGGTGTAAAATGGTGACCGGGGGGAGCCCCGACATGAATAAAATGAGTTTGGTGTGCAGTTCTGCCTCTTTGTTTTTTTTTTTTTTTTTTTTTTTTTTTTTTTTTTTAAAAAAAAAATTATAAAAAAAAAAAAAAAAAAAAAAAAGAAAAAAGAAAAAAAGAAGAAATATGGCATAAACACCAACAACAGTGATGGCTTTATAATAATACTAGAGGTTGTGCACACCTACATGGGTGTGCTTGAAATTTCCTTGTGGGTTGAAATTGGCCATTATAGATTGAATAGGTAGTTATCGAAAAACTTGTGATTCAATTCTTAGTCAGAGAAGGGTAATTTGGGAATAAAAATCATGTGACACAAAAGTGTCAACACGAACTTAGCCCTTTACGTATATAATAGAAAGAACAGGTAGATAGATAAATTGTAAAGATATATACTAGTTGTGATTGCAAAACATGATACTTGGCAGTTTTACATCTAAACTTTTGGGTGGTTTGACAATCAGGAAGATGGGTTAAATTTAAAAAATGTTGAGCAGTTATTTATTGGATGTATAGTTTTAAATTAACAATTATATTCTTGAAAAACAAAAATAAGAAGCACGACGAAATTTCAGAAAAAGTTCACACCAAATGATCTGCATGTATGCTTTATGTAATAGAATAGGTATTGATGTATGTGGGTTCTGATAAGAGTTGATGGGTGGAGTTGTAGGAGAGTGATTTGGTTGAATTGGAGACTACAGTGGAACCCACATGGCCAAAGTTGGTTGAGCCGTTAGAGAAGATCCTAGACCGACTATGGATCGTTTGGGGGATTGTGAATCATTTGAATGCTGTCAAGGATTCTCCTGAACTCCGTTCTGCCATCACAGAAGTTCAGGTGCCTTTTCTTTACTCTTTAGATGACTTGAAGATGGTGCTGTTGAGTTAGTGCGGACAATGTTACTGTAATGCTCTTTGCTTGTTTTGCAGCCAGAGAAGGTTGAGTTTCAGTTAAGGGTGGGCCAGAGCAAACCCATTTATAATGCATTTAAAAAAATCCGAGAATCTTCAGATTGGGAAACATTGAGTGATGCCTGTAAACAAATAGTGGAAGGTCAGTGTTTTTTTTTTTGCAATACACAGAACTCATGCTTGACTATATGTGGTTACTGGACAATGCTGTGAATTTGATGTTTGAATAATTAGTGATCCGAGATATGGGTAGCAAGAGATGTTTTCTCTTTGATTGCATTTTGGTTGCGCAGAGTTGAATTCAAACAGCAACTAATCCATGCAAGTAAATGAATGAGTCGATATATGACGCTTACAGTTATACCACTTAGGATCTAACTAGAACCTAACATATCAAACTTCAAGATTTTTAAACAAGTTGAAGAATGTAGTCTCAGTCTTTTTTTTTTCTTCTGAGACTAACAAAAGACCGAATTCCAATAATTATTTCGGTATATACTATATATACTATGCTACAAGTACCACTGATACCTCACCATTGTCTACTACTCTTAAATGCCACCAACTTTACCCACCAATTTTTACTTAAAGGTCACACGTATTAATGGCACTTGACTTCTCTGCAACTCGGATCCTTCAACCATCAAGAAATCTAGCAACTTGCTAGCAAATTATTTATTTTGCTTTTGGTCTGCGCACTAGCAATTGATTAAAAGATAAAAAATAAAAAAAGGCACAAAAAGAAGAGGAAATCATCAATTTTAATTAAGGATTAAACTAAAATCTAATTGATGAAGTTGTTTGTTTTTTGCATGAGTTTAAGATGCTCCTACATTAGCCATATATTGCTATATCTATTATAAATAACATGTTTCATTGATTAACAGAATATGGGCATTATAACGTCAATTACGTTTCAATTAGTTTTGCTCACTGAGAGATGAATGGTTCATATGTGTTGATATGCATCTCTGATTCTTTTATGTTAATGATTTAGTGTATCTCAGTAGGCTTGATTGGATTGTTTTAGAAACTAAAATATGTATGGTTCAAAATATATTTTTGTAAAACAGAGTGGGATATTTTTTGTAGAGTTGTTTCATTCAAGTGTCAAGTGAATGATTACAAGTATACATTTAAAATAGATGGTCATCTGGGGTTGTCTCCCTTCACCATTCACCATTCACCATTTTTGTTTAATTATTCATACTTTGCCTTGTAAATCCAGCAAACATATTTAGTCAAAGCCTGACCCGAATCAACAAAGAACCACAATTCTTCCTATCAATCACTTAAAAGAACAGTACTGAAGACTGAACGAGCTATGCATATAAATATATATATTCCATTAAAAGTGTCTTTGCATTCTTCGAGAATAAGTAAAGAAATTTATGTTTTCAAAAAACTACAATCTGGGTCTGTGGATCGGATAACTGGATCCATGCGAATTTACCCATCATTAATTCATTCAATGTCCTTTACATTTCCATCATCTATCAATTTTCGGAATGGAAAAAAGAAGACCATCTATATCTATATCTATATCTATAAAGTGTACACACGAAACTTGGCACACACGACCGCCTAGGCACAAAACTTGGCACACAGAAGTATTGCTTGTCCCTTTAACGACTCCTAATATCTAATTATTAACACCCTCGCTGTCATCCTTTGAATACTTGAGAAAAACATGCATACTAGAATGTTATCTTTATTGTTTCTACCCTTGACGACAATAAGGAAATTTCCTCTGAGACTAACAAAAAAAATGTTGTATTTGATGTTGTTGGGAGTTAGAGCCAGATTTCAGATATAATTTTTATGTTTTTTTGTATTTGATGCTAGTTGTTAAATTTTTATTTTTGTATTTGATTGAGATGTTTAATTATCTATGTGGGATTTGATGACTAACAAAAAAAATGTTGTATTTGATGCTATAGTAGTTAAATTTTTATGTTTTTTTGTAATTAACATTAACACATAATTATATTGTCATTAATTATTTTTATTTTTATTTTTTAGATATTTCCCATGTAGGAGCATGCTTCTTGTGGAATGCATGCCTGTGGAGAATGTGGCTAACTTTTGTTTTTGTTATGTACGAAGAATGATGAGAAAAATAATTAATTCTGGTTTATGTTATTTTGAATTATGAACAAAATCATGTATTTAAACATCATATATGTATTATGGAACATTATGTAGTGGGATAATTTTGTTGATGTGTAATTATGAATGGAAGAATATTTTATTATGGAGAAATTATTATTTTTATACAAGAATTTTTATATTATTATGCAATTATTATGGAGAAATTTTAATATTTTTAATAATTTTATTACAGGATGTTTTTTTATTTTTTGTGACGGCATTACACCGTCGCAAAAAATAGAAAATTTTAATATTTTTATTGATTTTCTTACAGGTTTTACTTTTTGTGACGACACTAAATTGTCACAAAAAATAGAAATTTTATTATTTAAAATAGAAATTTTATTATTTTTTTAATACTTTTTGCGACGGCAGTACGTGTACACTGTCGCAAAAAATAGAAATTTTCATATTTTTAATACTTTTTGCGACGGCACCACATCGTCGCAAAAACAATGTTTTTGCCATTGCAAAAGAAAAAGACTATTAGCGACGGTATTTTTTGTCATCTCAAATAATATTTTTAGCGACGGTAAAATAGTATCGTCGCAAAAAGTCAAGAAATTTTAAACATTATTAGCGACTGCAAAGTGCCGTCACAAAAGGCAAAAATGCCATCGCAAAACATTAGCGATGGCACTCTGCCATCACAAAAACTCTTTTGCAACGCCCACAGTTGCAACCCCTCTCTTGCCGTCGCAAAAAGTCATTTGCCATCGCAAAAAATTTTTTGCAACGGCATTAGAAGTATTAGTGACAGCATTTTACCGTCGCAAAAAGCTAAAATTTTAGTAGTGAATTGATAAAACTAGCAATTGAAAGCAATTGATAAACCTATTTTTAGAATCTGATTTTGCAGATTTCAGTTCTAATTCTTCTCTCATTGATTTGGAGTTTTTACAAATTAAGCTAATCTTCTTTCTTCTATTTTTGTTTGATGATGATGGTGATGATTTATGAGTTTTTCATTTGTTAATTTGTTGGTATAAGAACTGTGATTTTGAATTTTATGGGTTATTTGTATGAATTGTCGGTTGTTCAAGTAAAGTTTTTTTGTCAAATGCAATATAATTGTTTTTTTGGGATTAATAGGAGTTAACACTCTGTTCTTTTGTGTGTGTGTGTGTGTGTTTTGTTTCCAACCTGATAATTAAAAAGTTAATGACTTGATGTCAATGAGAACATAGAAATTTGTTACTAAGAAACTGTGAATATATCATTGTCAACAACTTGTAATTTAACTTCAAATTTTTAACTTCAGATTTGTTGTCAACTTGTGATTTAACTTCTAATTACAATGTGAATGTTAGAAACATAAAACTCAAAATAATTTCAAATATAAATAATTTCATAAATTTTGGGCCTAAGTTAAAACAGTGAAGAACTACTTGAAAATTAAGTCAAAAAATGGCCCAAAATAGTTTAAATTAGAAAAGATTAACTAGCTCCTCAAATCCTAGAATTAGAATCTTTTAAGTGATTATGATTGATGTTTTTGAAATGCTTGGAAGGAGACAAAAGTTAACGACTAGTAAAAGGGGGTTGATATATTTCCTCGACTCCATGTACCTCCACAGTTTAGTATCCTGAATCTCATGACATATTTATGTGTGTTCTGTCCAGGGCTTACTTTTATTTTATGTGTTTTCCCTTTCATTTATTGATTCTAATATTTTATAGTTTTCTTTTTTAGGCTGATGTTTGTCATGCCTATCAACTCCTGAAGAAAGGTGGGCTTAAAGATGAAAACATCATTGTTTTCATGTATGATGACATGGCTCAAAATGAAGAGAACCCCAGGCCTAGAATCATAATCAACAGTCCCCATGGTGATGATGCATTAGGTCAATTTTAAATTAAGGAAATTGTATTCTTTCTTTCTCATTTGGTGGGCTTTTGTTTGAGCAGGATTATACCGGGGAAAATGTCACTGTTAACAACTTCTTTTCTGTTACCCTTGGACATAAGACTGCTCTTACAGGGGAAGTGGAAAGATTGTGGATAGTGGTCCAAATGACCATATTTTCATATTTTACAGTGAGCATGGGGGCCCTTGGGTGCTTGGTGAGTAAGCACTCTCTTTGTTCCTCTCTCTCTCTCTCTTTAGCATTCAGTCTACATTTTGTTGGTTGCTTGGATTGACTATTCATTTGTATCTATATTTCAAAAAAATATAATGTGGACTTCCTATATGTTAGAAGAGAGGATCCTTTAGCAACTTGGTCTATCACCAATTCAAAAAAATCTCTATCTGGATGATTTTGGAATTTTACGGTGTAGGAACTCTGTATTTAATCTATTTTGGTGCATTTCTAATATATTTACCATGGAAAGGCCAAAAAGAGGGGTTATATTTCTGATCTAGGTGCATGGAATTCAGGTGATTAAGAGATTTCTGAAGCCTCAGTACAAAATCTTCTCTTGTGCTCTATTTTGATATTAAACTTCATATAAAACAGAAAAGGGTAAAGTTAGTTTCTGGACTTTAGATTCATGAAAGTGTGAGAAAGGGGGATACTTACCTAGCCACTCTTATAGGAAATGAAAATGTTCGGGAGGCCCTTGTTCAAAAGGAAATAACTGATTTACATTTATTGATTAGTTCTTGGATGTCTTGCGACTGCTATTTACAAATTTGGTAATAATTTGTTTACTTGAAATTTTTCTCTCTTCCCTTAGAATATACAGTCTAGGCTCAAATTTTGATAGGTAGACATTAAAATTAGAATGGGAAAATACTATACAAACCCACAGATGTGGCTTGCAGAAATGGAACTTGAAATAGGACCCACTAAAGTTATATGATTGGAGCAACTCATGTAAGTGAGAAGAGTTTATGAAATTTGTTAGCTTGTATATCACTACTGTTAGAATAAAGCTGCTTACTCTCCTCAGCCCTCTCCCCTCTCCCCTTTCCTCTCTCCCCTCTCCTTCTCTTGCCTGCTCCCGCTACACCCACTCTCTTTTCCAAAGTAATAAATTTAATTTTTTTTTTTTTCATTTTAAATCATAAACCTAATGTTTTGGTCAATACCCCATGCGTTTTTCTTGGCAAGTAGAAGTAATTTAAAAAAAAAAAGCATAGGAAGCAATGTTGACCACACCTGGCAGAAGGTCCAGTTTGGGCTTTGAGGTCTCCACAATATGTCAACCTCAAATATCTATGTTTTTATTTTCACATATTGGTGTACTTCTCTATTGATACACTGGAAAATAAGAAAAATTGGGAAACAGAGATTTTGTCTATTTTATTTTATGTGATTTGTCATGATGACTCTTGTTTTAAGACATTGTGTGTTTTTGGATAATTATCAACCCCCTGTTAACTTTGATGAACGTTCTTTAATTAGTCCTTATATGCGGTGGCATACAGGTTGATTTTCATCTGGATGGATTCATAGATTCACATTGATAAATATTGATGTATTATTGATTGATGTGTATATATTACAAGATTGTTGTATATATTTTGTATATTACAAGCTATTATATAGGAGAGGATTTGGGAGTAATTCATTCACTCATTTTAATTAAAATATTTATTTTTTATTTTTTATTTTTTTTTATATATAAAATTTGTCCTATTCACCTAACTTTAATTTCGGCATGGACATGGACAAGAGTTAGATTGTACTAGGTAACACAGTTGATGGAAGTATAAGTCGGGCATATTATGATGGGGTAATATCATTTCTTCGTTTTGCAATACAATGTAATTGATAATATGTTAATATTTTTCTTGTTTATTTTCTTTGCAGATTGATTTTTGATAACGTTTGGAAGCATACTTGCAAATCAAGATTGAATTTTTTTTTCCCCTGAACTAATACTTAGTTGTAGTTGCAAATCAAGATCGAGTGTTGATTTTTTTGTAGACTCCACGTTATTTCATTTTGGGATTTGCTTTGATGGTTTTTTTGTTATACTTAATGGATTATTATTAAAGTTGTTTGATGAATATATTTTGATTTATAATATAAATTGTTTAGAGAATTTTTTTGTGGAGTGGTGTATAATAGCTAGTGGATTTCTTTGTACAATTAAAAAGCTATTGGGATATGAGCAGGGATATTTGTGAAATAATAATTTAAATTGAAATATAAAATATAGAACAAGTTTGTTGTGACAAATTTGCTTCGTTACTTGTTATTATGACAAAGTGATTATTCGTCACTAATAAATATTTTTGTGACAAAACTTATTACAGCTTATATATGAAAGTTTTCATTGATTTTGTTGTTTGGTGACTAAAAATTTTGTCACGTATATATATTTTTGTGACGAAATATATTTCGTCACCCATGTATGACTTTTGGAAACGAAAAATTTCGTTAACTTTATATTTTACTGTGACGAAACTATTTCCTTATCAATGATCAACGTGTGTAACAAATTTATTCGTCAACTAAAGTTATAAATATGGTACTGAATAACTATTTGATAACGAAAATAAGGATTTTTGGCGACAAAATGTTGTTTTATTCGTGACAAAAAATTTCATCACTAAAGTAATTTCATTGGTGACGAAATTATTTTTCGTCACGGTGGTTTTTAGTGACAAACATTCAACAACAAAACCGGTGAGGAAAATATTTCCTCACAAATATCTATAGTGACAAAATTAGCTCTTTGGATCGTTATTCAAGACCCAGCTCGTTGTAGTGTACTAATTTTATTGCAAAATTAAAAATAACGCATGACCCAGATACTAGTTATATCTAGATAGATTTAGGTACATATATATATATATAGTAATATAAATCAAGAACAGTGGAGATTGTTGTTCATGAAAAAATGTAGAACCAGTAGAGGAAGACGACAGAGAAAGATTGAACAAGATGGGTCCTGCACCGAAGTGAGGAATTTAACATATGACAAATGACCAAAACACTCTTATTGTCACAACTACTCTCTCTAAAAATTATTCACAATCCACTTCTTATTCCATGCAAAACCACCACTCAAAATCACCACCACAATTTCTCTCTCTAAAAATTATCCAAGCTCACTTTTCTTCTTATAATTCAAATTAGTAACAAAACCCATGAAATCAAACAATTAATATGTGTAAATAGCATTGATAGGATTCATACCAACCAAACCCACTTTTCTTCCCGTTTCTGACATTTCTTCTTATAATTCAATTTAGTAACAAAACCCATGAAATCAAACAATTAATGTGTAAACATTTAGATTGTTGAAATAGCATTGATGGGATTCATACCAACCAAACTCACTTTTTCTTCCTGTTTCCGACATTTCTTCGGCCCATCTTTCGGACTCCATAATTTTCTCGATTCTTGACGATTTTATCCCATTCTTTCACTAATCTCCTCACCTTGCTTTATACTTTATCCTACGCTACCTCGGTTTCTCACTTCTTCCTAAAATGGATGGTTTCGGCATACCAAAAGTTATCCGAAAACTAACTTCACACATTTCAAAGAAATATCTCCAAATCTATTTCTTTCTTTTTCATCGTCCACCCCCTTTTATTGCTTCATCTATAGCACTTTGTAAAGGGTGGTACTTGGTTTTGAAGGAGCTAGGAGAGATGAGTAATTGTTTGAGTCTAAATTCCACGGAGAGAGATATGTATTTGATGATGGTATGAGAGGTGTGTGGTTTATCATCGGATGAAAAAGAAGAAGAAGAAGAAGAGGAATATAAAAAATTTAAAGAAAAATCAAAGAATATTATGATTTGTAATGGCATAAAGAAGAAAATTAAATAAATAAATAAGGGTAATTTAGACTTTTTGCAATTTCTATTACATCCGTCCAAGATTGCATTTTGGTATGAAGTATAGGGAGTTTAAGTGTTACAAATGAAACTATAGGAAGACTCTGTATTTTTTGAGTAAATCACAAGGGATTAAGGTATATTCCACTTCACTTGTTTACCTAAAAGTGAAAACCTTCAATATGATATTAACACGTTTCATGGTTCAAAATAACATACGGTGACATGAAAAATAAATGATTAAAATTAATAATCGGAGGATTTTGACAAGAAATTAAAATTACACGATTTCTCTGATATTAAATGAAGTCCAATAGAATTAAAAATGTTATTTAAAAGACAGTAAAATTTAAGTATTCTTACAACAGAAAACATTGGAATATTTCTTCAAAATTGTTGTGTATACACGTCTTCTTTGAAAAGAAAGACATTCAAAAATATGAATTTTAAATTTTTTTAAAAATGATATACAAACAAGTTACATGAGCATGCCTTTACCACCTTAATTAAGGAGGATGAACGAGTCAAACTAGTCAAACAATTAACTGTTGAAGTTTGATTTTATAACTTAATGAGTTTTAAAATTTGTTTAAACTTAGTTTGTTAAATTTTCGAGTCACCTCAAATGAGCTTCTGTCAAGTCGAGTTCGAGTGATTTGTTTGGGAAGAAAAAAAAAAAGCCAAATTTAGGCTAAAAATCACAAAAAGACAAAATAGGCTAAAATAGTTAATAAGACAAAATATCACATCAAACCCATAATCATTTCACTTTTTCTCTCACAAACATCACATCCAACCACAAAAAAATCCAATCATCTTCCCAAACACAAAAATTTTAACCTACTTAAAATAGCTAAAAATTAAAATAGCCTACTAAAATAGCCACTTCCCAAACGAGGCCTTAATATTTTTATATAATTTTAGACTTATCAAATCAAGCCGAACAAACGATTGATTGTTTAAGTTTACTTTAAAAATTTTAACAAGTTTCAAATATGTTTAAACTTGTCTTATTTATTTAACAAATTAAATTCAAACGAATTTTTAACGAACTGAACATGATTCGAACCCAAATTATTTGATTATTTATCATCCCTAACCTTAACAAATTGCACAGTGGGCTCCACACCCATTTCCCAAAAATTACCCTCCCCGCAAGTTGCAACGGGCACTGTAACCGCAAACATTCAGCCCATGATTTCCTAATGGTTTCAAAAAAACCCACTCAATCAGGCCCAATCCAAAACAAGCACTAACAAATAACAGCAGTGGCTTCTCTTCAGTTGGCTATTTTAAATGAAGTATTTATGAGCCCTTGTCACAAAGCGTGGGCTCGGTGAGTCAGTTATTCCTTTAAAAAAAAAAAAAAAAAAAATTATCTTAATCACATGTTAATAGTCACTTGATTAAATAATTATCTATATTTGATCAACTTAATTTGTTGTAGAGATAATTAAGTGACTATTGATATCTGATAAATGTGATTTTTTTAAAAAATAAAAATTTAACAAATTCTACATATTGAACAATTTAGAACATCAATGTAGATTTTGTAATGAACACACGAAAGTCTAACAGTACCATCCAATCCGATTTGAATAGGAGAAAAAGATTTTTTCATAAGAGTAAATTACAAACACACCCTCTGAGATTTACTTAAATTACAAATTATCCTCTGTGATTTTAGAAATTACATTATACCACCTCAGATTTCTAATTTCATAACAAATATGTCATTTTATTAATAAATTATCAAGTTAATTAATTATTTTTAATAATGTTAAAATTTTATTTCAATTAATAATTTAGATAATTTTATTATTGTATAGATGAACAGTTAAAAATTTTACATTTTCAATTCATTATGTTAAATACAAAATTTTAACATAGAAGTATTTATAATTTTTCAAACTATAAGGGGCGAGTCGTATTTTAAGCAAACTTTAGGTATATTTGTAATTTACCCTTCCCATGAATATTATAGTCCACAACGCATCCTATGCGTACAGTAGCAATAACCATCCTCAGCTCTTCTCTAACCTCCACCGAAGTCCGATCCCAGCCATCTCTCCCTCTCTCTCTCTCTCTCTCTCTCGCAAAGCTTCAGATCCAGCTTCCATGGCGGCACCAGACCTGTTGTTCGGCCTGAGGAACAACTTCTACTTGGGCGCATATCAAGCGGCCATCAACAACAGCGATGTTCCTAACCTCTCCCCAGAAGACGCCATCGAGAGGGACTGTCTCGTTTACAGATCTTACATTGCCCTCGGTAGCTACCAGGTTCTACGACTCTCTCTCTCTCTCTCTCTCTCTCTCTCTCTCTAGAATTGCGTTTGAATTGGTTCGATTTGTGTTTCTTGACTCGAATACGAAATTGTGATTTTCAGCTTGTAATCAACGAGATCGATTCCTCGGCCGCCACGCCTCTCCAAGCCGTGAAATTGCTCGCTTTGTATCTTACGAGTTCCAGTAACCAGGTTAAATCTTTCTTCTTCTTTTTTGTTTGGTTGATCTATGATTAGGAATTTGTGGTTTTGTGCATTTGCCATTTAGAATTGAGATCTGAATTCAAATTGTTAATTGAACTAGAATTTTGAGTCTATTGATTGGAGATCAGAAAACAGAAATTCCTCTAGATTTGTATCATGCACTAATTGGTTTAAAGAGTGTGATTTTATATTTTTCTTTAATAATTGAAATCCAAATGACTTACACTCCGAAATTTATATTTCAATTCTCCTTTCTTTTCATTTATTTTATCAGCAATGGAAATCTGTATGTATGGGTGTTATAAAATAAATCAATAATTTGAATTCAGGTTTACGAAATTATAAATCAATAATTGTAGGGTATTTGTCCACTAAGCAAATACCCTTACAATTGTTCAACTCAGTTTTGGAATCCAAAAGATTTTGAAACATGAATTTGAGAATTGTTTTCTTGGTTTGTCAGCAACCATGTTGTGTCATAATCTTTGGAATCCTGCAGGAAACTACAATTTCGAGTATCCACGAGTGGTTGGCAGATCCAGCCATTGGAAACAATCCAATCTTACGTCTTATTGCTGGGATTATTTTCCTGCATGAACAGGACTATAATGAAGCTTTGAAACACACTAATGTTGGAGGAACCATGGAGCTGTGAGTTTTACTTTTCTAATACTAAAGTTTTCAAACATATTCTTCACCCATGAATGACTTCCCGTCCTGTCCTAGTTGGAAACTTGGAATGTGTAATATTGTTGTATAAATGGATGATTCAATTATTTGCTTTTCAAATACATGTCAAGCTGAGTTTAGATTTCAAACATGTATCAAGTGTAGGTATCATTACTAAAGAACATACCCTACTAATATTATGTTGATGTAATCGTGATCAGTGTTGTATCTTGCAAGAAGTTTCACAAGTCTCATCAATATTGTCCAAGACTTTTTTGATTGTGAAGCGTCGTTACATAGTTTGATGTGTCAGAGCTTATATTGTATGTGTCATTTGGCCTCAAAAGTATTTTTAGCAACTAGACCCTATATATATTCCTGGAAGCTAATTTGTCTTTTCATTTTCCCCTAAATTTCCTGTTCTGTTTTCACACTATATATGTATATATATATTCCTGGAAACTAATATAGGCTCCGTTTGGCAAGAGCTAAACGGGGCTTTTTTGGCTATTTTAGTCACAAAAGACTAAATAGACTATTTTAGCCACAAAAAACAAAATATCACATCCAACCCATAATCATTACATTCTCCTCTCACAAAAAAAGCCAAAAAAGCCAAAAAGCCCTTCCCAAACCAAACTTTTTAGCCCAGACTAAAATAATCAAAAAAGCCAAAAAGCCAACCTACTTCCCAAACGGAGGCATAGTGTGTTTAATGAGCTCCGCCTTTTACTGCAAATATGATGTGAATAGTCATTAATATGCCTTTTGCTTTTGCTTTTGCTTTTGCAGGCATGCATTGAATGTCCAAATATTCCTTAAGATGCATAGATCAGATTATGCAGAAAAACAGTTGAGGATCATGCAACAGATTGATGAGGACCATACACTAACTCAACTTGCAAGTGCATGGCTAAACTTGGCTGTGGTACATACCCATTCTCAATTTCTCATGTCAAATCAGGAATTGTTGATTTTTATGTTCATATATATTGGTCTGTAAATCAGGGTGGATCCAAGATACAAGAAGCGTATCTCATTTTCCAAGATTTTTCTGAGAAGTATCAGATGACTAGTTTGATCCTGAATGGAAAGGCCGTGTGCTGCATGCATATGGGAAATTTTGATGAAGCTGAGTCACTGTTACTTGAAGCACTGAACAAGGTAAGTTTTAAAATTGTCTTTGAAGTGATTGGGACAAAATCATCAAATTGAAGTGATTGGGACAAAATCATCAAATTGAAGTGATTGGGACAAAATCATCAAATTGAAGTGATTGGGACAAAATCATCAAATTGTTATTGACACTGCTAAATATACTTGATTGCATTCATAACATTCATTGTTCAAGAAATTGAATTGACCAAATTGATTCTAGATTGCTAATTATTCCCCTCTCCATAGTAGTCCAATTATTTCATTGATATTGGCTGAAGTGATCCCATATTTGCCCACAATTACTACACAATGCCTTTCAAAATCCCAATTTTGTCGCTGTATTTTTAGACTTGCACTGGAGAGGCTTGCACATATTTGTGGATGGTGAGATGTTTTGGTAATTCATGCAGGATGCGAAGGATCCTGAAACACTGGCTAATCTGATCGTATGCAGTCTTCACCTTGGGAAACCGTCTTCACGATTCTTGAAGTGAGTTATCTGTTTAAGAAAGCTAGAGGACATTTTGTTCTGTGTTGTATGTATTTTTGTATGTGCTTGTGTGTGCATATATTGTTAAATAAGACTAGCTGCAATTAGAGCTGTATTTATGTATAACCACCTGTCCATCGGAACAGCCCAATTTTCCCTGAACAACCAAACAAGGAAAGGAATTTTAGTCTAATATTTTCTTTTCATTTCCTTTACTCTTCTTTTTGTTTCCCTTTTCCTTTACTGTCTTGATCCATGAACCTAACATACAAAGAAAATTAGTTTTCCTTGTTCGGTTACCTTGGAAAAATAATAAGGAAAATAAAATAAATTAAAGTGTGAGAATTTTTAGTTCTAGATGGCGTTGTTTTACTTTTCCAAGACTGATTATCATTTCATATTTTTTGAATGTACCAATTTTGATGTATGAGGGAAAACACAGGAAAATGATTTTCCTTTCACTCTCCTTTACTTTTCCCCGACTAAATCAAAGTCCCAAACATAGTGTCATCCAATGATAGCTTAGTATTCCAAACCCAGACAAACTCAATCATCCAACGTAATTTGAATAAAGAAAATCAGTTCTGAAGAACAAATCTGATCACATATGATAGATCTAGAACTGGAATCATCGTAAAGAATAAATCAGGAGAACATATAATATACAGAGGGAGGGATTACAATGAAGTCAATAGGGGTAGTTGAAGCTCCAGAAGACACTGGAGATAGTGTTGCCTTTGAGGGGGGGACCCCCCAATTAAACCAAGCCGCATGGGAACCGCTCCAAAACACATTTGGTTTTGTTCGGTGATGTATCTTGTTTAGTCAGTTGCGGGGCATAGAAATGCAAAACTGACCAACTCAGTTCAGAGGAAATTTGACCCTCTACCCCAATTGAACCAAATCATTTACATCCTTAGTACCCCCTTTGTAGCAGTCCATATTTTAAAGTGGAATGACCAATAATGCTAGGTGTGGTTTAGGAAATTAGGACCGTCTGTTTGTCTCTTACTTTAGGTGGAGGTATCATGTGCGCACAATCTTATTCCATCTGATGTATCTAGGCTTCTGATTGCTTCTTTAGTTGGTTTAAGTTTGCTATTCAACAATTACTATTGTCATAGCACTACTGGCAGCACTGTCTTCCCCAAATTGTTTTGGGGGTTGCTAGCTACAGATTTTTTAAATTTTGGAATGACTGTGTTATACAACTTTGTTTTGCAGCCAGCTGAAATTGTCACATCCAGACCACATGCTCGTCAAACGTGCATCGTCTGCTGAAGAGAGTTTTGACAGAGCAGTCCAAACAATTGCTTGAAGAAAGTATGGGACTAAAATCCAAGAGGCAACTGATTTTTTTGTCAACTCTCAGTCCGTTTCACATGTTTTTATGCTTGATATCTGTTTTTGTAGCCTATAAGACCAATACTCGAATCCTATGAGAAAAATAATCTTCGGTGAAAATATTTGAATCTGAAATTACATAGTTGGGATTTGTTTCTTATTTCTCCTGGGCTTCCTCATTATCAGATAGAGCACTGTTTGTTTCTAAAAATTTCATTTGAACTACAGTTGTATCTGTTTTTGGAACCCATTTTTCGTGTTGTGCTGCATGTTTATGATCCTGCTTTTCTTCAAAATAAATCATAGGATTTTTTTTATAATGTTTATATTTATATTTTTTTTGTCTATATTTATAAAAATCTTAAAATTTTTGTAAACAAAATCTCATTTGGTTTATTTATTTTCATTTTCAAAAAATTAATGTGGTTATAATTATTGGATCAAATTGATTTTTTATATGAATGATCTATATATGATTTAAAAAATTAACGATGTAAATTATCAATGTGAGATTTATAAATCGAAACGGTATCTTGCAGTCCACAAACTGGAGAGGAACTCTTCCTAAAAAGAAAAAATGACACTCTTAAAGAGAGGGAGTAAATGAGATCCATGTAGGGTCTAGACAGAGATGCAAATTGTAGCAAGGTTAGTTTGGCTTCGTTTTGAAAGTTGGTTAATTTTTTAGTTTTTTTAATTTTTTTTGATTATTTTAGTCTGGAGTTAATAAATTTTATTTGGGAAGGATTTTTTAGTTTTTTTTTTATTTTTTGTGAGAAAAAAGAATGTAATAATTATGAATTAAATGTGATATTTTATTTTACTGAATTAAAAAACTTATTTTATCTTTTTATGACTAAAATAACTTCAAACCTAACCCAACCCCTCTTCTCAAACGAAGTCCAGTGAATTTGTTGCAAATTTCTTCACCCTCATCTCATCCACCTTGAGGAGAAGTTGCTCAATGTCCCTACTCGAATGCAAGTGGTTGAAACAGTGAGGCCTACTAATTTATGTTGGCAATTGTCTGAACAATGGACAGTTTGACAATTGGTGATTAATTGGTGCTAATAGGGCGCCGGATAATTTTTCCGTTTTGAGATTTGCTTGCAAAGTATTTTTATGCGTTATTTAAGTAGTAGCGCAAAAGATTGCATTGAAATTCACTTACACTTAAATTGTGATATTTAAAATTTAAATCGGAATATGAATTATAATAAGAAAATGTTAATCATCACTTATTGGGTCGTTTCATTAGTCTTGATATAAATAAAAAATGTATTAAAATGTGTATAATACATATCTATTTATACTATATATTAAGCAAAATGAGATTTTTAATCTCAAAGCCTGTGAGAGTTTCAATATCCCAATCTGAATTTTTTATTAAAAAAAAAAAAAACTCAACATTTATTGATTTGGTCAAAATTTCCTAGTCAGCATTTATTAACTTTCTTTCAATCCACATATCTTTTCACATGCCTGCATTTATTGATTTGGTCAAAATTCTTTAATCAGCATTTAAAATCCTCTCATACAAATAATTATAGATACAATCTATGTATAATTACTGCAATACCCTTTTCAATTTCTCTCATACACTATAATTAGTGATAAGATTGTTAAATTATTTTCATAAAAAATCTTAAAAAAACATAATTTATATATTAAAAAAACTTTAAAATAAATACAAATATGTATAATTATCCCGTACATAGCATAGATAATAGGCTAGTCTATATATATATAAAGTACATTGAAATTATAACTATGACAGTTTCTCCGCCTTCACACCACCATAGGATTGCCAATAGCACTACCCATTAAAATAAGCTTTCTTAATTATTTATTTATTTATTTTGAATTTCACAATGAAAATACAACTACCAACAAACTGTGTTAGGCAACCAAACAAAATTTGCATTTTCAGAGACTTTTCAAACATAAATAACCTCAGATCTTAAAAACATTTGCCAAGCTAAGCATTTTCCAATCAGAGATGCAAACTGTACATATACAGAGAGAGAGAGAGAGCGCAAAAACACTTTAGTGTCAGGTAACCAAACAAAATTTGCTTTCTCACTGACTTTTCTAAGTGAGTTAAAAGTCACTTTTTAACTTTTAACTCACTTCTCTCTAAAAAAATGTCAAAAAAAATCAACTTTTAACCTTCTTTCCCAAAACACCCCAAAAATAACCTAGGTCTTAAAAACATTTGCCAAGCAAAAACAGAGAAGCAAACTGTACATATACAGAGAGAGAGCAAAAAAACTACACTGTAAGGTAACCAAAGAAAATTTGCTTTCTCACAGACTTTTCAAACAAAAATAACTTAGGTCTTAAAAACATTTGCCAAGCAAAGCATTTTCCAAACAGAGATGCAAATTGTACATATACAGAGAGAGAGAGAGAGAGAGAGAGGAGAAATATCAGCAATAAAGATGCTATACCTGACTGGTATTATTATTGAACTACTTGGAATTTATATAAAGTACATATAACAAATGGGGCTGTGCTTTCCGTTCCCGCCTAACAAACTCCTACCCCTCATATAATAATTTTATAGAATGAAAAAGGAATTTATACCAAACCCTTACCTTAAAAACAACCACTATTCTCACTATGAAAACATGGGGCTAAAGCCTTGCTCGGCATGAGTTCTGCTTTGTTTCGCGTTAACTCTTCCACTACGAAAGCCACACAAAAAAATATATATATTACTAAGAAGGCATCGCTAGAGGCGTTCCATACCCATTATAATGCTCCTTTTGCCATCTCCAGGCAATCCGCAAACTCTCTTGAAGATCGGTGTGTTGGGCTGTCCAGTTCAACTCAAGCTTGATCTTTGTCGGGTCACTGAACACTTCAGCATAGTCGCCTGGCCGGCGCGGTAGGAGGTCAACTTTGATATTCACCCCTGTGGCCTTCTTACAAGCCTCCACAAACTCCTTGACTGATCTACCTGATCACAGAGGCATAAAAACAAGCATGAAAAACAAAATTTGATTGAAATACGAATTTGTGAACACCTGAAGAGAACAAGGTTTACCTCTTCCTGTTCCAACGTTATAAATTCCGACTTTACTGGGTGTTGCCTTCTCTAGGGCTTTCACGTGAGCATCAACCAGATCGGTGACATCGATGTAGTCCCGTACACAAGTTCCATCTGCAGTTTTATAGTCGGCTCCTGTAACCTGCATTTGAACCAAGCAAAATATCAAATTAGCCAAGTCTAGAGCTATGCAGCACCAACACTTCACAATAGGTACCCGGAGCCACGCCGGACATGTATGAAACACAGAAACCACAAGGACACATATGGGATATGAGACATGATGTGCCCCCTTTTTAATAATTTTAGTTTAGGAAACATTAATTTTTGAACACTAATTTCAGGGGTCATATTATAATATTTGAAAGAATAAGGATTGAATCTTTAAAATAAATATAGAACTCATATTAAACCATCGACAACACAACATAAATCTAACCTCAATTGTGAAGTTAAAAGACTAGCTTCTAACGATCTATGGAGCCTAACACAACACAAGTCTGGTCTCTGGTTGATTTAAATTTTTATGTTAAATTAAGAGTTTTTTTCTTTAATTTTGATTGTTTATGGGTGTAATATTTATATCCCACATTTCTGTGTCCTGATTTTTTTGAAATCACTATGTCCCATATCCATATTTGTGCTTCCCAATTCAAGCATGGCATACATTATGTAGACATAAAAGAGGAGAGATCTTCACACCATCATGCATCACATAGATAAGCATTTACTAGCAGAAACTAGATGTTTTTCATACATGAATCAAGGGCAAACTACAGAAAACAAATTTTTTTTTTTTATTTTTAAAGATGTTAGACTCATCAGTACCTCCAACTTTATATTTTTTTGTCTCTGTCCACAAAATAAAAAAAATAATACTTTAATTGAAAAGTAAAAAATAAGAGAAATGTCAAGTTTTGTGATAATGAGAATTTTTTGTGCTTTCAAGCCAACTTCACAGAAAACAGCCATCTTTACATCAGAATTATCTTTAATCGAACTCAGCCAATACGTCCAAATCCCACATTAAAGACGGGTTGAACATACGCCAAAGTTCATTATTGACAGAACAAGAAAAAAAATGACGGAATTAGAAATCATCGTACCTTGAGCCCAGGAATAATGCCACGAGCAGCATCAAAGCAAGCACCTGATATCCGTCCATGCACTCGCAATTCCGGTCTGGGAGCTTCTCCTAATCTGCCTTCTGGATCTGAACCAATCACATTGAAGTATCTGAAATTATTCACAAAGAGAAATGAGTCCACAAGTTTCTGGGTGAGTAATAACATTCTCTTTGGCATTTAAGGTGCGTGATTAGACGTTGTCAAAGATTAAAAATGAACAAACACAGTATCAATGTTGTCGGCGAGCAATGTGGTCAGAATGCAACTTCTCATTATTGAATTCTATAAATGACAACACGACCGAGCGTGTAGCTCGCTACTGAACTATGGAGCGAAATCCAACATCACCCAAGTGAGTATATAGGCGTGAGGATACATCACCTCAACAGCTAACTTTTGGGATTGAGTTCTATCTAAGACCACGTAAACATGAGAGATAACAATGAGACTCCGGTGGCACAAGATCAACCCCTCTCAAAGAAAATTTTCAGGGAAATAATGGTTTATACAGCAACACGAAATATGCATGGGCTGCATGATGTATAGGTCAATTTTTCATATATACACATTCATTGAATATTTTATGATACACAAATATGGCCATTGCAGCATTATTGAATAGAAAATACAAGAGATAAATAGCACTACTAATTAACATAAAACATATAAAGATAAAAGAAATCTGAAAATTAAGTACATGTTAGGTCAAGTACCTTAAGATCATGATCGCCATATCTGAGTTCTTATGAAAATCAAGAATAATATCTTCAGCCATCTTCTTGGCTTTTCCATATGGGTTAATGGGGAACTGAATTTATGCAACACTAAGAGATTAGTCATTAAACAAAGCCCATAGCGTGTCAATTCTGTTACCGAACCAACTTACAAACCATAACTCGTAATCACAAAGCAGTTCTTAAAATCTTCACCTGTGGAGTTACTTCTGTAATTGGCATCTTTTCAGGTTCTCCATATGTCGCACATGTACTAGAATATATGAATGTCTTTACACCATGTGCTGCCATTGCCTCTAAAACTACCAAGGTATTTGATGTAATGTTGTGATAGTATCTGTATAAACACAATAACATTAACTAATAAAATAGATAAGGGGAGATCAAATGCTCCAAATGATTTCATATGACAAAAACAGCTTCAACTAACAAAATAATAACTAATTAACAGAGCTCAGCAAGCCAGTCCATATTCTTCAAAAAGTTCAGATTCAGATCATAGAGAAAGTGAAAAGACTATCCATATCAATCAGGAGTATACTTAAATTATGCTTCCACCAAAGGCAAAACCACAACTGCTATTGGTAGATAAACGTTGCAATCGAAAGGCCAACAACGGACAGGGAAAGGCTTCATTCTAATCAAAAGTTCTTGAGAAATTGACAAATATGTTTTTGAAGAAAAGATGTGAAATGGATTGAAATTAATAAATATTGGAAGCATGATACAAGATAGAATTAGAATGAGATGAAGATGCTAAAGTGGATGTGTGGCAAAACTAGACAAGACAGAATTAGGAATGAATTTATTCAGAAATGGGTAGGGGTAGTACCGATAGGAGATAAGTTGAGAGAAAATCGATTGAGATGGTTTGGTCATATTTAACGAAGACCAATAGAAGCAGTAGTGAAAGATACGATGCAGTGACGGTAGATGAAAGTATTAAGGGACCGGGTAGGCCTAGATTAACGTTGGTTAGCATTGTAAATAGAGATATGAATCTACTTAATTTGACTAACGGAATAACCTTTGATAGAGTCACGTGGAAAAGGAGGATTCATGTACCCGACCCCATTTGATGAGACTTAAGACTTGGTTTGGTTTGGAAGCATGATACAGAACATTGATTTGGATATGAGTAATAACCCTAGAGAATATATATATATACACATACCAGGAAACACAAGAAAATGGACTTGTTTTGGGGAGACAGTTGTATTAACTACGTGAAGATATAGAGGACATAGACATACACACGATAGCACAACACATCAATGAAAGAAATTTTTACTAAAAGAAGAGAAAAAAGTAAACAAGAGAGCCGCTTGAGTAACCAACAACTCTTTCTTATAACACCAAGGATAATCAGCTAATCAGATAATAATAATATCCTGAATAGGATAACCATATAAAAGACTGCAAGACTAAATTCTAAAAAGTCAAGGACATCCATTTGCCCCACAGTCTGATATGATCTCTTCCTCTCACGATACTATGAATTTCAGTCTTAGGTTTCGTTTGGCTGTAGCGTAAAAACCACCAGCCCATTTTGCTATTTTTAAAATAATAAAAAAAAAAGCTTTAGTTCATTTGGCAAACCTATTTCCCACAAAAAGCCCACTTTAGCCACTCTTAAAAGCCATTAGAAAAGCCAAAAAAAGGTAGGGATATTCCAAACAAACCATTTTTATTATTACAAAAATAAGAAAATTTAGCTCATTCGGCAAACCTATTACCCGCCAAAAAGCCCACTTTGGCCACTCTTAACAGCCATCAAAAAAGCCATACAAAGCTATGAATGTGATAAACAAGCTAGATTTTTAGCTAACTCTCAAAGGAAGCCTTGGGTCAGCTGCAATGAAGTTTTGGGCAATACTGATCAACACATCATATATTATCTCTTTATCCATATTAAGACACTCACATGACGGCATTTGTCACACGTCAAGGCTTCAACCAAAGCAAAAATCTACCATCTCCTCCCACCAACTACAACCTCCTTAAATCCCCCTGGTATGACTGATAATGCATAATTTGGTAAATGTGTCCACATTGCTGTGTGGCAAAAGCTTATGCAAGTTCAACTGATATTTTTGAAATAGATCAAACACTTACTTCAGAGGATCAAGGGTGCTTTCTCCAACATATGCAACAGCTGCAAAATGCATCACAGCATCAAATGCATTTTCTGAAAATATTTTATTCACCTGAAACATTGATACAAGGAAGCAAGATACAGAATGCATGTTAAATGGCTTATGGATCAATAAATAAGAAAGCATATATATCATTGAAAAAGTGTGATTACGATACCACTTTTGCATCCCCTAAGTCAGCATAAATAAACTGAAGCCTCCCAGGTTCTGGAAATAGTTCTTGTAGAACCTTGACAGCGCCTAGGTTTCCCCGAGATAGATTGTCCTGTTACATGAGAATCCTTTTCATTGAAGATCTAAATCATGTAGCATTCAAGGGTTGAAACAATTAAGAAAAAAATATAATTACATATTTTTAAAAGAGAGATATATACCACTATAGTTACACGATACGAGTCCTTGAGAAGTCGGAGTGTAGCATGTGAACCAATATATCCAGCACCTCCAGTTACTAAGACATGAGTAACTCCTATTTCATGATGGGAGAACTGGAAAGGGAAAATTTTAAGAAAGTGTTAAATATGAAATGACATAAAAGAAAGGTCCATTTGACTCAATTCATTGAAACAAAAATTGGAGAGACACGGTATTCTGAGCATGTCTTGAGATATCTTTAGGCTATGTTTGGAACAAGAATTTGAGTGGGCATTTGTGGAGAGAAAAGTGAACAAAATTTAGCTTCTGTTTCATTCACTATTCCCTTCCCTTTCCCTTTCCCTCCACAAATCTCTTAAAATTCTTGATCCAAAAACAGCCTTAGAAGGGAATTGAATGAAGATACAATGATAGAAATAGAGGGATAAAGAAGTTACTGGGCTTGGGCTGTTGAATCTTGGGGATTGTTTGAGCATAAGAATACATAATGCTGTAAGGGCAGCAGCCAAAAGAATTTTTCCTACAAAATTGCTCTTCTTCTTTGGGTCTACATAATCTATACCTACAAGAAGTAAAGGTCAAAATGAGTTACAAACAAACCCCATCAAATAAGAAGATTATATAAACTAATTGCCAATGTAATAAAAACACAATTAAATTTTTGCATATGTATGTTTGTATATATATCAAAGAACTAGAGGCCAATGTGTAGTTAGCTGACAACTATTCTCAGAGCCCTGTCCAGCAAAGCATCTGCACTTTGAAGAGAACAAACTATACTTTTTAACTTTTAAGCCATAGATTTAATAGATTCAAACTCTTGAGGTTAAAAAACATAACATGTATAATCTAAACAGAAAAGAAAATTTCAAATGTTAATAGATTAATAAAATGAAAGGAAATCTTACCTCCTAAAGACATAGCCCTTGTTGACCGTGGCTGAGTTCTTGCCCTGCTAAAATTTAGCATTTGTAAAATCTCCTCGGTCTTCAATGCTTTTAGGCCTTAGACTCGATTATCAGTTACAACTCCTCAATCGTGAATTTTGGCGAACTGTGGCCTAATCTGCTGAATTTAATGAATTCACAAATTCTGTGAAAATTAAGCATACACCTGGTTATGAACTCCAAAATAACCCACAAAAACATAAAGAGGGAAAAAAAAAAAAAAAAAAGATGTACCCAGTGCACAAAGAAAAAAGGTAAATTGTAAAGAAAGGAGACTGAAACCGGGCCCTAGGAAAAAGTTGAAAATTACAAATCAGAAAAATATCTAAAATTTTCCAACAACCCCCTGAAATGATCATTACCCATATTCAAATTCCAGATTTACAGAAGCATCTAAAATTGTGTGTTTGTAAGAAGAACATGTAAGACAGAAAATTAGGAGAAAAAGGACAACTTTTGAAGGATCACCATTCAAATAAGCAATTCCATTTTAAGAAGAAGAAAAAAAACAGAAATCAAACATACAATTGGAAAATTGAATATATTCACACCTAATTAGACAGAGACGGAGAAACCAACTTATTTAATTAAAAAAAATCAAAATTTGAAGATCTAATACAAGACCCATCAACAAATTACCCATCAAAATCCCAACTCAAACTGCAAGAACAAAAACAAACCCATTTTGTTTTTTTCATACAAATAAGCCAAAAATAAGAAAATTCACACGACCCAAGTGAGAAGAGAAGCACAAAGTCACAAACCTCTCAGAAAACTGAGAAAATAGCAAAAATGTTGTTATACCTGAAAACATTGGCTTTTAAAGGCTCAGATGTAGAAACAAACAAGACATAACAGAGAGAAATTCAATTCCCATTTACAGAGGTAGGCCCTAAAACACAAAAACTAGGCATACTTATAGTCTCTGTATCTATACATTCAACGATCACAAGATCTGTAAACAACTATCACAAATATTAAAAAAAGACAACAACTTCAATACAATCAATCACAAATAAACACTACATTTTTTTATGATTTTGAGTAGAACCCACGAAGATTTGGAAACGTAACAAAGATAAAGTCTAGAGAGAGAGAAAGAGAGCATACAGGGGAGAGAGAGAGCGAGAGAAGGAAGAGGAACGGTGATGAACAAAGCACCTGGTCTTGGGGGTACGTTTGAAGTTTCAACTGTAAAAGAGGGATATGGAGGGAGGGAGGGAGAGAGAGAGAGAGAGAGAGAGAGAGTTTGGAGACCAAAGGAAGAGCGAGAGAGAGCTCTTATTGTGCGGAGATTTCTCTGGTGTCCCCATGCTGTTAGTGTGAAGGTGACTCCACGCGATTGGAGCTAGGGTGGGGTATGCGCGGTGTGAGCCGAGCGATTTCAGATTAAATTATAAATTAAATGGCAAATTAGCCGATAAGTGATTTGAAAATTTATGGTTTAGACAATTTTTGACAAATTGACAAATTGAAAAATATTTTAACTAATTATTATATATTTACATAATATATAATATTAGTTTGTATAATATTTTTTAGATATGTAATACAAAGTAATTTTATATAATTTGTTTTATATAGATAACTATTAATTTATAATAAATTTTGTATCTTAAATCTCTCTCACACTTATTTTTACATTAAAATTTTATTAGAAGTTGAAAAATATATATGTATTAATTATAGTGGAGCGGAATGATTCGGTTAGTAAATTATAAATTTTAAAATTTAAACTATAGTTAGCGATTAGAACAGTACAAATTAATATAAATCAGTACATTTTTAATATATTAGACGATATTTTGCACGGTCTTAATGGGAGCACAGCACACAAAATTTAGAAAGAAAGACTCTTTTTATTTTTCTTTTTTAATTACCTTATTTTTATTTTTCAATCAGAAAAATCTTGTTATTTTTAGATCCGCATAATCTAAAGGATAATATAATAATGATAATCTAAATCTAAATCCAAATTACAATAATCTCGTTTAAGATCAAGAGAACCTTACAAATTTTGTTCGTATAGATGCAAAAATAACATTGTATATTTTAGCCTCCGTTTGAGAAGTGGGTTGGCTTTTTGGCTTTTTTAGCCTGGGTTTAAAAGCTTAGTTTGGGAAAGACTTTTTGGCTTTTGGCTTTTTTGAGTTTTTTTGTGAGAGAAGAATGTAATGATTATGGGTTGGATGTGATGTTTTGCTTGTTATGGCTAAAATAACCTATTTTGTTTTTTGTGACTAAAATAGCCAAAAAAGCCTGCAAACTCACTTGCCAAACACAGGCTTAGTTTGTTAATCTTTGTATATTTATCAGTTTGAGTCTTTACCTATTTTACATTTCTTTTAGTAAAAAAATCAATTAAAATAACCACTTTTTTGCGTGTTTTCTCAATTTGCATAAGTTATAATTATTTGATTGAATTTCTCTCATATTCATGGCTCAATAAGAAATAATTTGAAAAGCCTATAGAGTTGGTTTTGTTTCGATAATTTAAACCGTTTATTTTGTATAATTCTCAATGTATATCATCTATGAAAAAAAAGTATACCAACCTAATTATCGTAATAGTTTCATTTACTGTATTTGTCTCTAAAAAAAAATAGATGTCTATTTTCAAAAATATATTTATCGTCTATTTTTTTGAAAATAAATATGATAAAATAAAAAAGTTATGATTATCGAATCGAACTAATTTTTTTATGAATAATATACATTGAGGATCTTACAAAATAAACGATTCGAATCATTGAAATAAAATCCATGATAAACCTAAAAACCCCTCAAATTGTCTTATATAAAAATATGAACATGAGAGAAGTTTCACCCTTAATTATTTTACCTTTATTAACAGAGAAATCATTGTTATTATATCATTCTTACCAAAGTTATTGTATTTTTTTAAAATTCGATGATGGTAATGTAGTTTACTCTATTATTTATTCAATACCATATAAGAATCCTAATCAAAGTGAATTGTCAAGTTACTTGTAAAGTAAATAAGAGCTTTTACAACCAATCCAAGTTATTTTGAAAAATAAATAAATAAAAATAAAAAAATAAACTTTATGTTTTTTTAAACTCATTTTTCAAATTTAAGTAATTTGTGAAGTCGTGTTTTTAAAATATTTTTTAATTTCAAATTTTGTTTTCAAAACTTAATTATTTTTAAAATAAACAATAAAATTCATGTCGGCAAAAACATGACATCATTAAAGTTGTGTTTTCATTTCACAATTTTACTGATCAACGACACCATGAAACAAGTTGTGAGAGTAGGACGAAATCATTCACAAACAAGTTGTGAGATAAAATGAAATTGTTGAACAATCATTCATGGTTTGAACAATGAAGTTATGAATCACAAAGTTATATTTTTATTCACAAATTTAATTCATTTTTAATATAATTTTGTTTTGAATTTTAAAAACATACCTTCACAAACTACTTGAGTTTGAAAAACAAATTAAAAATAATTTGGGTTTGAAAATTTTAAAAAGGTATCAATTAACCAAACATGAGAAATTTAGATAATTTAATTTTTTTTTTTTATTGATAGTGTTCAACGACGATGATGGCTATGGATTGGGAAAAGAATGAAAGGATAGCAGTAAGCCTTCCTTTGGCATGTGTTTTTTGATTTTTTGACTATTTTAGTTACAAAAAGATAAAAAAAAAAATTTTAAGCTAATAAGATAAAATATCACATCCAATTCATAATCATTTTATTTTTTTTCACAAAAATCAAAAAAGTCAAAAAGTCTATTACAAACGAGAATTTTTAAACTCAAGTTAAAATAACTAAAAAATCAAAAAATTAAAAAGTCAATTGACATCTCAAATGAACGTAAGGGGAAGAGTAACGGTAGATAAGAAAAAGAAATGAAAAAACAGAATTGGATCGAAGAAAATGAAGGGTGGTAATGGAGGTAGTTGTCAACGATAATAAAGGAGAAAAATGGTTAAATTATCTAAATTATATGAGTTACATTGAAACGATTAACAATTGGGAAAAAGAAATTTAAAAAAAATAAAAAGTTAAGATTTAATTTTTTATTAGGATAAATTACAAATATACTTTTTGAAATTTGATTAAAATATGAATCGCCCTTTGTGGTTCTGGAAATTATAATCCACCTCCTGAAATTTTTAATTTCATAACAAATCGTTCATTTTATTAATAAATTATCAAGTCAATTAATAGTTTTTAATGATATTATAAATATGTTTCAATCAACAATTTAGGTAATTTTATTTATGTATAGGAGAGCAATTATGAATTTTTTTTTTAGTTAATTCTGTTATATAAAAAATTTTAACAAAAAAAATATTTATAATTGTTTAAATCACAGAGAGTAATGTATTTGTAATTTACCCTTGTTATTATAATCAAATTTTGGGGTTTTTTTTTTTTTCCCGTAATTTTTCTCAAACTTGATTTCCAAGTCACTTTTCGCATTCCATTGACCTCATGTGCATTTATAAGGGTGTCCACATTTTATATGAGAAGATTCTTATTTTACATAATTAAAATAAAACATTATTAAAGGGCAATGGTAAGGCCTTGTTTGGCATATATTAAAAAAGTTAAAAAAATCAAAACGTCACTATTTCATTTAAGCCACATCATCTTATTTAAATCATATCACCTCTGTACCACATCACTTTAAATCCAATTCATATTTTATAAAAAACCAAAACGTGTATTTTTCAAATCATGATTTTATTTTTAAATCATGATTTAGATAAAAACATGTTAACTAAATATATTTTTAAAATATAACTTAGGCTTGGTTTGGGAAGTGGGTTGGTTTTTTGGCTTTTTGGCTTTTTTGACTATTTTAGCCTGGGCTTAAAAGCTTGGTTTGGGAAGGGCTTTTTGGCTTTTTGGCTTTTTTGAGTTTTTTTGTGAGAGAAGAATGTAATGATTATGGGTTGGATGTGATGTTTTGTTTGTTATGGCTAAAATAGCCTATTTTGTTTTTTGTGGCTAAAATAGCCAAAAAAACCTCCAACCTCACTTGCCAAACAGAGGCTTAAAATTATTTTCAAAACTCCTCTCTTCTCGTTTTTTATTATTATTAACCAATCAATCAATCACTTTTTCTCTCTCATCTTTCATCTATCCTTTCACATTCTCTCATATTCTATGCATCAATCAATCAAAAAAAATATAAATCATCAAAAAACTATTTTTAAAACTGATAACTAAATAAATTTTTTCTTTTTAAATCATGATTCAAAAACTCAAAATGTAAGTTTACACTCAAATCATTATTCTAAAACTAAACTAAATAGACCTAATAATTTTCTGTTTTTGGATTCTTCTAGTTTAATATAATGTAGGAGATCTTGCTATTTTATTTATATTTATAAAATCAGTTAATTGTTTATCTCACTTGAATTAATATAAAATCTACTTTTATCATATAAAATCTCACTTAACTCATAATTTAAGTGTTATTAGAACCAACGGGGTTAGCACGATTGGTCAGAATCTTGCATCTCATTAGGAGGTCGGTAGTTCAAATCTCCCCACCTACATATGGATCATATTCTCCGTATATTAATTGGTATTGTTTTCTCTTCCAATTTGGGAGTTTCTTTGTGAAAGTTTGCATTATCTTTCATTATTATGATTGTAATTTATTGGATTTCATTATAATATCTTATATGAAACACAACCAAAAAAAATGTTATTTAGGACAGATGAAAAATGACTTGTTATCAAATAATTTTGTTTCTTTTTCACTTGTGATACAATGAAATGATATTTAATTTAATACTTGAATATGTCATATTCAAATTATTACACAACAATTTATTGGGTGTACCCCAAGCCCATCCATGAAAACCATATACTTTATTGTGCCTCTATTTGGTTGTGTTTCAAACATGAAAACCTTGTAAATCTCTCTTTGAATGGGTGGAAATCAAATTAGATATCTTGTGGGTGTTTGGGAAGTAAATTTTTTTTTGTAAGTTTTTTTAGTTATAGGATATTATTAGAGAAAAAAATTTGTGTTTGGGAAGATAATTGAGTTTTTTTGTGATTGGATGTGATGTATATGAGAGAAAAAGTGAAATGATTATGGGATTTGATGTGATATTTTGTTTGGATTTTTTTTTTTTTTTTTGATTTTGTAACCAATTTGTCTTTTAATAAAAAAAATCAAAAAATTTCCTTCCCAAACACTGCCATCGAAACACAACTAAAAAAAATGTTATTTGGGACAGAGATGAAAAATGACTTTTTATCAAATAATAT